TATCTATCTATCTATCTATCTATCTATTTATCTATATATATTTAAATTTTTAGTACGACTTTTGCTTTATTCCATTGTGAAGTAATATATAAAAATTTGATATTTTTTTATTAGTTTTTTAAAATTAAACACATAATAGTTAACATATAATTTTAAGTACAATTATAAATACTAAAATGTTTTGGTTTGTGTAATATAAAAAATATATAATTAAAGTTATGTTTATAATTAAAGAACAAATCAGTTGCGTAGAATAATTATAAAAAATATTTGCACACCATTGTTCTCATTTTGATATTTATATACTAAATATATGTAAATTTATTAAATTTATTAATTAAAAATGTTTTAGTATAAATACAAAAATGAATAAGGAAGTTAATATAACAAAAGTCAAACTTAATAGCAAAATAAACATAAAAATTAATAAAAAGAATATGAAACTTAACACGCGTGTATATGTACATAGTGTTCCATAGATTTCCCTATAATTTTACCATATGATTTCCGATTAAAATTAATTTAAAAATTTTGTATACATAAATAGAACTTTAATATAAATTTATAATAAAAATATGAAGTAAAAAGATGTGAAGAACATAATAATAATTTTATTCTTAATATAAAGTTGGGTAAAAAATAAATAAACATTATTTACGTTACACATTAATATAGCTTAAATTTCTTGAATTATTTTCCATTTATCGAACAAATTCAATAATACCAATGAATTATTAGATTTATTCGAAAAATGAAATTTTAATTCAGTAAATTAAACTACGTCAATATAAAAGATAGATATTACTTTTAATTTATATTACGTTAAAAATAAATTTATTATCAGTTTATCCATATTCCATTTTATGTTATTATAATTTATTTCATAATCTATTTACAGACTTATGTATTTATATTATATATTTTTTTCACTTTTATTCACAGATTAGATTAGTACGGAAGGTTTAGTATAGGAAGAATTGTATGGAAATTTATGAGACACCCTATATAAATATAATACGTGCAGTTACGCTAGGACACTAAGTTAGAAGTGGTCAGGACGTTGAATGTGATACCATATTACATTATTTATAACATGGCACAAACTAAAAGACTTATTAAATACTCATTTGCGTGCAACTTTTCCAAAAATAATAGCAATGCTACTTTATGTGGAATTAGACCAATGAGGTAATATTTAAATTTAATAGTTGAGTAAGTTTTCTAACCTTTGTATTATAATATATCAATCATTTAAAAATTAAAGTTATTAATAATCATGTACTTCAATGAATTAAAAACAAAAACTCAATCAAACAAAATGTTAAAAAATAGCATTACATGAAATCATTTAATATACTTTTTTTATATTATAGTTCATGGTGGTCTCAGGTGGCTATGGGTCCACCAGATGCAATTTTAGGTATTACAGAAGCATATAAAAAAGATCAGAATCCGAAAAAAATTAATTTAGGAGTTGGTGCTTATCGAGATGATAATGGTAAACCATTTATTTTGCCAAGTGTACAAAAGGTATATGTTAAAAACTGTTTTGTTCAGAGAAATATTATAATTTTCTTTATTAATACAATAAAATTCAATATATTATAGGCAGAAGATAAAATTATGAGTAAAAATATGGACAAAGAATATTCACCAATTGCAGGAAATGCAGAATTTTGTAAACATAGTATTAAGTTAGCACTTGGTGATCAAAATGATATTATCCAAAATGGTTTGGTATGTATAATATATAAAACAGTTTTTGGAAAAAAAGATCATTGGAAGCTTTCATTAAATATTTTTTAATAAATCTAAAGTCCAGCAGGCATTGAAATGCTTTTATAAATACATAACATTTATAAAGGTATTTCATATTGAATTTTATGTGCATTAACAATATGTTTAATACTAGACATTGATGTCTTTAGACATTACCTAAATTTATATCAACCAAGAGACTTCTTCATTTTTCTTTTTACTTGTAACTGTTTATTCTTTTAAAAATGTTATTCTTTCTTACGTTTATCATAAATTTATTATTCTTATCGACATTTATAAAATAAGTAAATAAATATAAATTGCTATATTTATTTACTTATAGAAAATAGGAAATAATATAAAGATGTATGTATTTGAAGGATATTAACAAATGAAACAAGGATAAACATTACAAATATATTAGGCCTGGTTATAAAATAGAAAGGATGGCAAGAGGAATGAAAACTGAAGTAAATAAGGAGAGAAAAATACATGTCAAGGTAGTACAGGGTGTTCCGCTTATATTGAATATCTAGATTATTTCCATTGATATTGAATAATGTCTAAGAATAATTTATATGGTTTCAAAATGACTATTTGATGGTCATAAAAAACATTGACATATTTTTGACATATTAATATCTGTTTTTTATTAAGTGATACAATTAATATTATGTAATTAATAATTAATTAATATCATATAACACAATGATTTATTATATTGTAATTTTAAAATAAGTGCTGATAATTGCTCCAGGTAAGTGCTGGGTAAAAGCTATTTTGAATAATAAATAAATTCATTCTATTAATATAAATTAGAATTAGTTATTTTTCATTTATTTGAAATGTCAAAATAAATAAATGTGTTTTGTTCATATAATTTTATATATATACAAGTTTTATAGATTGTTTATTTGAAAATATTTTTTGTAAAATAGCAAATTTTGATAAACAAAAAAAAAATTAGCAGGAAGAAAAAAAACAGAAACATAGATTTTTGATTATGATGCTAGAACTGAATATTGATATATAAGTTAGAAATCAAAGAATGACTCGATATTATATTTTAGATTATTTTAAATCTTTGTCATTGAAGTATATCATTGAACTCGTCTTGACGTTGGTTGTGTACCATATTATATTATAAAAAGCAATGACTTTGAATTGATATCTAGGATGACTCTTAAGTATCAGTTTTTTATCAGTACCAAATGCAAATTATAAAATCATAAACTTCTCTTAATCAGTTTCTTTTTTCTTAATATCAGTAGAAAGAATTTAGATGTTCATTATAAGCAGAACCTTATATATAGAAGTGATAAATAAACAAAAACAATAGACAAGGGCAAATAAATGAAATTCCGAAATATAATTTTATTTATCAAGAAACATAAAAACAGCAAGGAGTATATATTATATTTAATATTCAATTATTATAATTTGTATATTCCTAAATCTAATTCAGTGTCTAGAATATTAATTGTCATATTGTAATATTAAAGTTTATTCTTTAATATATATATCTTTCAGCTAGACAAAATATCTTCTAATTTTCTTTTTTATCCATAGTAAATATTTTGTATATGTTTTTTCAGTTAGTAATGAAAACATAGTTAAATTGTCTTAAGTAAAAGTTCAAAAACCTTAAATGTTACATTTTACTTGTTATTATGCCTGTTGCAATAAAAAGAATTGTTAGAAAAACTTAAAATAACGTACAATGTTACTATCTGAAGTAACAACATAAATATTTCAAGGAGAAATGTTAAAAATAATATAATACTAATTCATAAAATTTTATTTTATAGTATTAGAATATTATGAATATTAGAATAGAAATAAGTAATTTGATATAGAGAATCATTTTATATGTTAAATATATCTTAAAAGAAAAAATATTAAAGAAATGTTCAATTGAATAGTAAGATCTTAAATTGGACTAACAGGAGTAATTAACGAGATGTACTATATACAGCATTCTGTATTTTTTTTATGAGAATTATTAGTACTCTTTGATTTATGTCAATAAATTTGTTGAACTGCTAGACATAAATTTTATAAACTTTAATGCTTGACTATTTAAATTGTAATGTACTATAATATGTCTTAATATGTAAGTTTGCTTATTTCCATATTAAATTTCTAAAAAAAGAAAGCTATGGATTTAATTAATGATTTCATTTCTATGATAATTTTGATAGTGCAAATATATGAAATCTATAGAAAAGTAATTAAAAAATATGTAAAAAATATATTAACATATGTATATGGAATAATATTTAAAGTACATAATAATTGCTTAAATTTAACCAAGTTTGAGAATCAACAGTTCAATTCTTCCGAGCAAGGTAGCTTCTTTCTCTAGGACAGCTTAAACAGTGCCAGATATGGAAAGACATAAGATATAACAAAAGGAAACAAGATAGATACAGTCAAAGAGCCACGATTTGAAATCCGATATTAAAGTGGGACATCGCTGTTAGGCAAATTTTATTTTCCCTAATTTTTGTCATTTTTGTAAAAATGGCACGAATGTATTGTTAAAATTCTTCTGGCTAAAATGAGTCCAAAGATGATATAGATCAGAGTAATTTTAATTATAATAATTAACTTGATATAGGTAGCAAAATGATATGTAATAACATAATAAAATACATTGATTTATACGATTTTTTGGTATTATTTTCATTGGTATTACTTTGAAAAAAGTACAATGAAAATTACAGAAAGTAAAATTTTTTTTACTTCATGCTTTTTCTTTTTTCAGTATTCTCTCTTTTCATTTATCAGATTTCAGTTATTCGAATCGAGTAGAACTCGGTTCGCTTTCTTCGATTATTTACCACCTCTACTTGAGGTACTGAATAATGATAAAAAAATAGGGATGGACCATGTAAATTCAACTAAGCAAATTTTGGTTAAATTTAACCAAACATTAATGCATATTGTATTCTTTTTGCACATTTATATTCTTATATACGCATTCATTCCCATATATATTTGATTGTACAAGATAGTCTGCAGACCTAGAAAAATATTAAAGATGTCTTATATGCAAAATAGAATTTGTTATAAATGTTTCTTATTTTTCATCTTAAATTATCGAAATGATTTGTCTTGACCAAGCATAATTAAAAATCTCTCATCTGTGGATTTTTAAATTGTAATAATTTAATATAAATGGAATAGTTTTTGAAATATTAAGTAATTTTCAGTTATGCAGATCATCTTATACATTGTACATTTTTGACATATTTCAGTATGTCAGATATGTATAAATGTCTGCAATTTATTTATAATGTTTGATATTTTGTAGAATGCTACTGTTCAAGGAATTTCTGGCACAGGTTCACTTTATATTGGGGCAACTTTTTTATCCCATTTCTTTCCTGGTAATAAAGAAGTTTATTTGCCAACACCTACATGGGGAAATCATGCTCCTATATTTAAACTTGTTAAACTTCCTGTAAAATCATATTGTTATTATAATTCAGAAACATGTGGACTAAATTATGAAGGTGTTTTAGAAGATTTAAATGTTAGTAACATGGAAATATTATAATATAATATAATATAATATAATATAATATAATATAATATATTTATAAATATTTTATTGAAAATTCCAGAACAATC